CCCAGGCAACTTGGTGAGACCTCATCTCTACAATAAATAAAAAATTAGCTGGGCGTGATAGTGTGGACCTGTAGTTTCGTCTACTTGGAAGGCTGAGGCGGAAGGATCTTGAGAGCCCAGCAGGTCGATGCTGTGGTAGCTGTGAGCGTGCCACTGCACTCCAGCCTTGGTGACAGAGTGAGACTCCAACTCAAAAAAAAAAATTCGGTGTTACTACTTACCATAGGAAATGCTGACAGAAAAGAGGGAAGTGAATCTTCCAACTTCTTTGTACTTTCAAACATCTTTGCATTGGTACACATGGAAGAAGTTATTTCTTTACTCTGTTACTCACTGTTCAGCCCTTCATCTGTACTTTGGTACCATCCTCCTGCTATCCTAGAATCCTGTCTGTTACCTCCTGGCCTGCATCTTTAACTTCTCTACTGGCTTTTTTCTCCAAATTCCCTCTGGTCTGTCATCTCAGGAGAAACCCCTACCTTGACCACTTATCCTCTTCTAGCTCCTATCAGTCTCTCATCCCCTCTCAGCCACGCTTCTGGAAATAACACACTGCCCTAATCCACCCAGTGCAGGTTAGCTTCTTTCTCATTTTTCCAAAGACATTCTTATACACTCAGCATGTGTCTGGCAGTGCTGGGTATTTTAACTGCTGAACCAGGCTTGACTCAAGGCACTATTCTAGAAACCAGCAACTTACTCTCCACCTCAGTGTCACCATGGCTCACTCAGCTGCCCAGTCCAGAGCCTGAGGACTCATTTCACGCACTTTCCCTTCACTGTGTATGATTGCCACGCTCGTTTGCAAATCCTTGCAGGTACAACCTACTTAACACCTCCCATAGGCACCACCCTGCCCCATCTCCATTTCTGCCAGTCCTCACATCTCTTGCCTTAGCTCAAGCCCTCAGATTGCTGCTGTGGCTTAATTGGGGCAGGACTCCTTCCAGACCATATTCCACACTTTATCACAGGGACCTCTCTAAAATTCAAATCTAATCATCACGCTTTGACCTACAGTGACATTCATATCATTCGTTGATTGATGGAGTCAGACTCTCACTGTGTCACCCAGGCTGGAGTGCAGTGGCACAGTCACAGCTCACTGCAGCCTTGACTTCCTGGGCTGGAATGACTTAACTGATCCCTCCACCTCAGCCTTCTGAGTAGCTGGGACTACAGGCATGTGCCACCACACCTGGCTAATTTTTAAATTTTTGTAGAGATGCAGTCTTGCTATGTTGCCCAGGCTGGTCCCAAACTCACTGGCTCAAGGAATTCTCTTGCCTCAGTCTCCCAGTATGCTGGGGTTACAAGCATGAGCCACTGTACCTGGCTGATTTTCTTAGCTTTCATGGTAAACTCCTTAGCTTAACATATAAATTTCTTAATGGTGTGGATCCCTGTGTATTTTTCTTGGTTCTTCATGTACCACTGGCCCAAATCATCCTAATGGCAAACCTTGATTGAACTCTTTATATGTCATACACTGTGCTAGGTGTACTACTTCTCATTTAAGCCTCGCATCAATTCAGCGTGGATTTTGCCTGTTGTACAGATAAGGAAATTGAGACTTAGAGAGGTTAGGAAACTTGCCCCAGATAAGTGACAGAACCAGGTTCAAACTCGGACTGTTTGGTGCTCAAGTCCAAACATTTAAGTGAATTACCAGCATGATTCAAAGCATGAACTGGAAGCACCTACCTCAAAATTCCCTGGATATTTGTTAAAATGCAGATTCCTTGGCTTATCTTCCTTGACCTGATGACTCAGACTCCTTGGG